CTATAAAACAAAACTCTTTATTTATTTATTTATATATATATATTGGATTCAAATGAAGATTAACGTTCAAACCTAGGATCCCAACAATACAAAGTCTCTGTCAAAGGTGATTGTCTTTCATCACAAGACAGTCTCACAAACAAAGATTGAAATGGTCTTCATGTTTTTATCTCTTGTAGTGTTGATGTTCTACTAGGAAACTACGATTCATTTTCGATTTGGTTGTGGCTTTTCAGCAACTTATTGTCTATTATAAATATGGGACTTTCACTCATTTCTTCTTCACTATATTCCTTCCCCTCTTGTATGATTTATTATTTATATGCAATGTTGGTATTAGTCTTCTTTCCCATTTTTATGTATGGATATATGGACACCACCATACAAGGCATAATCACACAAAAACAAGTCAAAGAGAAAAGCATAGTCACACAATTACCAATTGGATATAGGTTTAGCCCTACACAAGAAGAGTTGATGACTCATTATTTGATCAACAAGGTCCTAAACACACCTCTTCCATCTCAAATTATGATGGAGATTGATGCAATTGAGTTCTATAGCAAGCCTCCTAACAATCTTGGTATGTAATTTTCTGATATATATATATATATATATATATTATGGTTTTAAATAATAGTATGGATATATATTTGTATCAGCCAATATGTAAAACCTATATAGTTAAAACTAGTTTCATTATATGTGGTTTTGTATGCTATCATGCATTGATCTAAATGGGTATATAGCTTGAATTGTATATCATTCTAGGATTATGGTTTTGATTTCATTTGATTGTTTTTTGTTTTTGTTTTTGTTTTTTAGATCTAAGCATTCTAAAGAACACATTTGGAGGAGGAGGAGAAGGCAAAGATCATGATCATCTCTCTCTTGTGAAGAAATTACCATCCCTTCACCCCTAGCTGGCAACCAAAACATGAGTGTAAGGGCCGACAAACAGTCTGATACAGATCGGAGACACCAGGATTCAGACCTAAAACCTTGTGGGTGACTTACTATTCGATAGGCTAAAGATGACACAGGTTGGCATTATGGTTTTTTGTTGCTTCTTCTCCTCCGTCCTCTACAAACCTATAGTATTTCAATAATATTCCTCTACAAACCTATAGTATTTCAATAATATTCCTCTACAAACCTATAGTATTTCAATAATATTCCTCTACAAACCTATAGTATTTCAATAATATTCCTCTACAAACCTATAGTATTTCAATAATATTCCTCTACAAACCTATAGTATTTCAATAATATTCCTCTACAAACCTATAGTATTTCAATAATATTCCTCTACAAACCTATAGTATTTCAATAATATTCCTCTACAAACCTATAGTATTTCAATAATATTCCTCTACAAACCTATAGTATTTCAATAATATTCCTCTACAAACCTATAGTATTTCAATAATATTCCTCTACAAACCTATAGTATTTCAATAATATTCCTCTACAAACCTATAGTATTTCAATAATATTCCTCTACAAACCTATAGTATTTCAATAATATTCCTCTACAAACCTATAGTATTTCAATAATATTCCTCTACAAACCTATAGTATTTCAATAATATTCCTCTACAAACCTATAGTATTTCAATAATATTCCTCTACAAACCTATAGTATTTCAATAATATTCCTCTACAAACCTATAGTATTTCAATAATATTCCTCTACAAACCTATAGTATTTCAATAATATTCCTCTACAAACCTATAGTATTTCAATAATATTCCTCTACAAACCTATAGTATTTCAATAATATTCCTCTACAAACCTATAGTATTTCAATAATATTCCTCTACAAACCTATAGTATTTCAATAATATTCCTCTACAAACCTATAGTATTTCAATAATATTCCTCTACAAACCTATAGTATTTCAATAATATTCCTCTACAAACCTATAGTATTTCAATAATATTCCTCTACAAACCTATAGTATTTCAATAATATTCCTCTACAAACCTATAGTATTTCAATAATATTCCTCTACAAACCTATAGTATTTCAATAATATTGAATCACTACAATGTAATATTTTAGCTTTATAATTAAATAACGTACAATTATGTGTTGGATTTTATCTTCAAGACTATATGTTGAGCACACTAGCTTATCAAATTTTATTGTTTTGTTTGTTTTTACAGTGTCAAATCCAACAAATGGAAGAGATTGGTGCTTCTTGATCCAATATGATGAATATTTTTATGGTGAAAGAAAACAAATTAGAGAGGTTGGAAATGGAATAGGATTTTGGAGGTCAATAGGAATTGAAGATCCAATCTATAACTCCAATGGAGACATTTATGCCTTCAAGATCAATTTCAGTTATTTTTCAGGATCAATTCCTAAAGCAAAGAAAACACATTGGAGGATGGAACAATTTCGAATACACTTCAATTGTGACACAAAAACTTTAAAGGTAATAACATTTTTTTTAATGACTAGCTATCCGGGTTAACTTATGCATGGGTAATTCTCTTTCTACACACTTAATAATTTTTTTTTTTATTACATTTTTGTCTTAAAATTAAATTACCAAAATATCCCTTTCCCAAAACCCTATCTCTAACTCTCTACAAAAAAAAACAGAGAACAAGTTTGGGGAATGAATTCTCAATTAATATGAAGAACAGCGGTAATTTTTTCTACATCATAACTAATTTTTTGACATTTTTTTTCTTCTCCATTTTGTTGTTTGATTAGAATGGCCTATGTATGTTTTTGTTTATTAATATAATTGTTTCCCATGTTTTCAAAAAATAAAATTTATTTTCCTTAAACCAGAAAAAATATATATATAATCATCATCTTGCAATATAATTGGCCAAACAATGGTTTTCTGTAACTTCCACTCAGCAATTTGGATCACTACAAATACAAATTCTAAATAAAATTTTATAACAGAGAAAAATATATCACCGACGGTCATATGTAATTACATTACTGAAATTACAAACATGTAAACCTATCATGTTCCCTCTAGCAAAGAGAAACTGAACATCTTATTTCAGGGATCAATTTCGGCAATGGAGGTAGCGGAAGTGGCGCCGACGGGTGGAGGGAGGGGTGGGGGTAACGACTGGAAGTGAAAGGGAGGGGAAGAGGTGCCGCCGCCAACGGCAACAGCAGTGGTGGCTTGTTAGGGTTAGGGTTTGAAGGATGAAGATGGTAAGGGTATTTTTGGTATGATAGGATGTGTATTGAATGAAAGCTAATAATTTAAATTTATTTAGTGTGTGTATTGAGAAAAGATGTGGAAATAGAGGAAGTAATGTGTGGAAATAAAATTTTCCCTTACGCACACCTTAATTAACTATGGAATCCACGCAAAAGCACCTCCCTTTACATGAATCGGGCAAATCTCGGAGCGTGACCATAAGAAGTTGATAACACCTAGTATACCTCCAAATTTCAAGTTGCACCGATTAAGCCAACCTCTTGGGGTTGGCAATAATAAATTATACTAATCTATTATTCTATTACCAATTCTTCTAAATATAAATAGAATCGGATCATAAAATCAAGTACAATCCTCTGGTGTAGAGTGGACTCTCACATGTAATGAGTCTCAATCCATTTGAGAATTATGTCTAATTCTAATCAAATTCAGTGTATTTAAAATTATTCAAACTCCCAAATACTTGGTTGAGTTCATGTCAAGGTGTTGAAAGTTAGAACACCTGCACACTATGTGAAGAGGAAATAACCACTTCACAAAATAATTCACGTCAAGTGTATCAATATATGAGTCTATAAGTATTTTGAGAAATACCAAAAATTTACAATTTAAATTCTACAATTTATTTACAATGATATGGTATGACAGGTAAGTAATATTGTCATTTTGATTTTTTTTTTTTTTTTTAATGTTCAAAACCTATCCAATTTTGTAAGATTTTCTTGGGCTTTACATGAGATGATTCAATAATATATGTATATATATTAAACAAGTTAGCCTCGAATTTACCAAAGAAAATTGAGACAGATAAAAAATTAGTTAACTAAAAAAAAAAAAATGATCAATATGATCAACATGAAAGGAGCATATAAACAACTTCATTGCTCCCAAAAAAAAAAAAAAAAAAAAAAAAAAAAAAAAAAAAAAAAAAAAAAAAAAAAAAAAGAAGAAGAAAAAAAAAAAACAAAAACAAAAACAAAAACAAAACAAAAATATATAAAAATAATAAAAGTTTACAATAATTTTTTTTATTGAGATTATGATTCCCTCATCCTGGTATTTTTGAACAATTATACTATAAATTTAGACTTAATTATCTAAATAATACTCATTATTTTATGATTCGGAATTATTTTACAAATGAATCTCACGTTACACAAATTCAATCTCAAACAAACACACTTGAACGGGTAACGAGTAGTTAAATTGGGTTGATAGAATTATTTATTGTTTAATGCAAAGTTCACACCTCACCAAGACTTTAAAAACCATTGAAATCTCTCCAATCTTCTCCAACCCATCCATACATTCACCGGAAACAATGGATTTCCTGAGCTTTGGACTATATCTTCTATTGTCTTTGACTTTGTTAGAATGATTGAAAGAAATATGAAAATTGTGTATTTGTATTATATTTAATTGAATTAGTATACAACAGGGGATGCCTGTATATATATAGGCCGAAAAAACCTAGATAAGTATAGAAGAATGTAGAGATAGAGATACAAAGAGATAGAGATAAGATATATGTACAATACAGATAGGTAAAATAAAGCTAATATATACATTAACAGCCCCCTTCAAACTCAAGGTGGGTAAGCATCAACCAACTTGAATTTGGAAACTAGATCACTGAAATGACCAGGAGGATGAGCCTTGTTGAAAATATCAACAGGTTAATTAGTAGAAGAAATAGGGAGAAGATGAATAGTACCACGTGTAACATGTTGTCGAATGAAATGACAATCAATCTCAATGTGTTTGGTGCGATCATGGAAGACATCATTGTGAGCAATCTAAATGGTACTCTGATTGTCACAATAGAGAGAGATAGCACCAGGAGAAGAAACACCCATATTAGCAAGGAGCCAGCGAAGCCATAAACGTTCATGAGTAGTGTTAGCAAGAGCGTGATATTCAGCTTCATTACTAGAGCGAGCAGTGAGGGACTGTTTCTTACTGCACCAAGTAAGAAGATAATTCCCTAAGAAGAAACAGAAACCCGTGGCGGAACGCCGATCAGCAGGATCCCCAGCCCAATCAGCATCAGAAAAGGCACGAAGCTCGAGAGAAGAGTAAGCAGAGTAGTGGAGTCCATGGAACATAGTGCCTTTGAGGTAGCGAAGTATGCGAAGTAGAGCAGTATAATGCAGGGTGCGGAGAGCCGACATGTACTAACTAACAAGATGGACAGCATAGACAATGTCAAGACAAGTCACAGTGAGATAGACAAGACTACCTAGCAGCTAGTGATAAATAGTAGTATCAGAGAGAAGATCCCCGTCTAGAGGAGTGAGACGAGTCTGAAGATCAATGGGAATAGAGGTAGTCTTGCAATCGGTAAGACTAGCACATGCCAGAAGATCAGATGCATATTTGGCTTGGGACAAATAATAACCAGTGGAATCATGAGAGATTTCAAGCCCTAAGAAATAATTGAGAGTTCCAAGGTCCTTCATCTCAAACTGACAATTAGGAAATTCTTTGAGGCTAAGAATACTAGCCACATCATCACCAGTGATAATCATATCATCCACGTAAAGAAGAAGAAGAGTGGTGCCATTAGGAATGGTTCGAACAAATAGAGCGGAGTCATATGAGCTAGAAGTGAAGCCGAAGTCATGGTTGGTGGAACTGAATTTAGCAAACCAAGTTCGTGGGGATTTCTTGAGACCATAAAGAGCACGCTATAATTTGCAAACCTTATGAGCCGGATAAGTAGACCAAGGGGAAGGTTACATGTAGACATCCTAAAGAAAATCACCATTGAGGAAGACATTTTTGACATCCATCTGAAAGAGATCCCAGTGACGAGCAGTGACAAAAGCAAGTAAGCTACGCATAGAGGTAAGCCGATCAACCGGAGTGAAAGTCTCCTCATAATCAATGCCATATTCCTAGGTGAAGCCCTTTGCCACAAGACGGGCTTCGTAGCGTTCAATAGAGCCATCAAAATGGGTCTTGATTTTGTATACCCATTTGTAGCCAATTGTAGTCTTTCCATGAGGAAGATCAATAACATCCCAGGTATGAGTTTTGTCTAAAGCTTGTAATTCATCAGTCATAGCTTGCTGCCAAAGAGGATTAGTACTAGCCTCACGATAGGTGGTAAATTCATACATAGAAAAGGCAGTAGACCCGACAATATAATCACAAAGATGAACAGGTGGTTGAGTTACTCGATGTGGACGACTGGTGGGAGGAGGATCTGGTAGGGTGATAGGAGACTCAACAGGACCATCAGAGGGAGCAGTCAAGATAGGATCAAGTGTAGGTAAAGGCGTCTCTAGAGAGGAGGAACCTGTATCATAGGCATTAGAGAAGAGATCTATAGAAGGATTAGTAAATAGAATGGAAGTAGAAGATGATGATAAATAGAATGAGGATAAGGATGAAAACATTTTATACTCTCAGAAAACCACATTACAAGAGACACGAAGACGTTTAGAGATAGGATCCCAGCAACGATAGCCTTTATGTTCAATTCCATACCCAAGAAAGCAACAAAAACGAGAACGGGGTTCAAGTTTGGTGTGTTTATGAGGTTAGAAGAGAACAAAGCATGCAGACTCAAAATTCTAAAGATTTGTGTATAGAGAACTAGTGCCATGTAAATGTGCATAAGGAGTTTGGTTATGGATAATAGGAGTAAGAACACAATTGATAGTGTAGACAGCACAGTAAGAGTAACTTCCCTAAAAAAATATTCAGGACACGAGGAAGAGATAAGAAGGGCTCGAGAAGTGTTAAGAATATGCCTATGTTTCCGTTCAACATAGCCATTTTGTTAGGACGTGCCAGCACAGGAACGATGAGGCTGAGTACCATGATGCTGAAGGAATGAGAGAAAAATCAAGGTCCCTATATTCCATAGCATTATCAGATCGAAAATTTTTAATGGTTTTAGAAAATTGGTGTGGGTTCACCTTTTTCCGTGCCCTCGCCTTTTAGAAAGGGGTTTGAAAAGAAAGGCTCTCACAGTTCGGACTCTACCTGCGGTTCTGAATCTAGTCTCACAAGTGCAATGTGAAACTGATAATCACCACAGAGTCCAATCCGGCAAATCATTTTAGAAAATCGATTTTGAATCAAATAATGCCAAACTTGGACTGCTTTGCCATATTACAGAGTCGCCACCTAAATATTTTGTTTTTGGAAAATTTAGGAAACCCTGACTCGTGCCAAAGGCCACGTGTTCGCCATCACCAAATTTGCCTCAGCTCGGGAACTTGGGTACGAGGGGGGAAGGTCTTGAAATGAGCACCCCTGCTCGCCCGATCAAAGGATCGGCCTCTACTAATCATGATATGTTTTTTTATAAATCTCATATGTTCTTATTCCAGTTACTAGCTAACTTTACTATGTGATGTGCACGCATACAAGTATAGACTATGTCGCAAGTATAGGAACAAATTCAATTCATGTTTGTTTTCAAAAATAGTTTGAAGTTGCCACCCTCAAGTGGGCTTAAAGATGCGGATTTGCCACCTTAAGTGGGCTTAAAACATGATTTGCCACTTCGCAAAATGGGCTTAAAACTTACATTCGTTGAACTGTTCCAATTCAAACAACAAAACCTTCATCCACAAGCATTCATCTAGTTAAGGAAGTAAGCACATAGCTTTATGACAAGCATGCGAAATATAGCAATATGGCAATGACACTCATGCAAGTATGCTAAAGCATAAAACTCACCGAGTGCTCCAAGCCAAAACAAAAGCCAGTTACAAAAATGTATGATCCTAACTATACAAAATGCCTAATGCAACGCATGCAATAATGTAATTAATAGGCTCGTCTACTAATATGGCATATGATGCAATTTGATAAAATGTGATTAAACACGTATTCAAAGAAGTGTATTGAAATGATTATGCAGTTTGAATGATGCATCGAGCCTTCGTGCATGCAAGACAAATGAATGGATGCAAACATGCAAGCATAAAGGTATGCTAATAAAAAATGTCCCTAATCTAACCATCGAAAGCGGATAAATAAAAAGGAGAAAGACATGAGATTAGAAGACATGCACACACGCACGCACACTTATTACAACATTGCACCCTCTCGAAGGAGGGTTCGAATGAATAAGCTAAGATAATCTAAGCTAGGCTAACTAATATAACACGAAACTAATTAACTATTCTAGTTAACTAATTATTACAAACCAAATTGAATAACTAGCCACGCCAAACTAATTAAATATTTCAAATTGGAATTGATTAACTAGTTACACTAACTAATTAAGCAAAGCAAGTAAATAAGCAAAGCAAGTAAATGGCCTCGAGGGGCGAGGGATGCATGCATGCTCGGCTTCTTTTCCCGAAAATGCCACCGCCTTGCCTTTTGCAGCCTCTGTTTGCACTTGCTTAAACACCGAAAATTGTGCCAACTTCCAAAACACGTCTGCTCCCTCTCAGGAACACATAGAGAAACCTTCTTTCACTGGTGGCCGGTTGGACACAAATGGTGGCTATCAGCTACCATTAGTGGTCGGTCGACTACTTTTGGTGGCTGTCGGCCACCTCTTCCCTGGACTTCTCTTTTTTGCTGCAACAAAGAGCAAACAGAGGCAAATCAGTATATTCTTAAGGAGTATATGTATTATTACCCTCCTTATCGTTACACAAGGTCAAAGGAGTGTAATTCTTGGCTCCAAAACCATCAACCAAGCATTTTCAATGCATGATGGCCAAAGAACCAAGAATTACAACTTCATTGTATGCAAAAACAAGACTCAAGACCATCACCTTATCATGTGTGATCAAAGGCAATGGAGACCAAGGAGATTGGCTCATTTCATCACTTTCAGTATCAAATGCTCCAATCTTTCTTGTGTTTAACATAACGTCCGATTAAACACATACAATGCAACACAAGATGCTTATCTTGCCTCTTTTACCTTGTCGCTTTCGCTTACTCATTTTACATTACCGATCAGTCCTTTAATTGATTAAGTCTAAGGTGAGAGTCTTCTAAAGGGAAAGAAGTGTCAACTAAGGGATGATTTAAGGCAAGAGAGAGGTCATGCCTTTGGTTAGTACAAACCCTCAAAAGAGGATTAAAACAATTAAGCATAAACTCTATCTCAAACTTAAAGAATCCCAAACTTGAAACAACTCTCAAAAGCGATTGAAAGAGTGAGACAAATGAGTATGTGACAGAGATTATGATGCTGAGATTACATGCAAAATAACACTGCAACATGCAAGCAACTCAAGCACTTTACTAAACTAGTGAAGCCCTTTACACTACAACCATGCAATACAAGCCTCAAAGGACTTAACCAGTCCAAAACAGAGCTAAAACAAGTCAAAAAAGTAGCAAAAACATGCTGAAATTAAGCTAACACAAGCTAGAATAAGAGGCCAAAGCATAGCACAAGCTAAACTATCAAGCACAATTGCACTACAAGCATATAAAGCAAGCCTCAAGGGCTCCAACCAGCCTAAAACAGAGCTCAAATATGCCAAAACAGAGCCTAAAACATGCTTGAATTAAGCTAAGTTAAGCTAGAAAATGAAGCTAACATGTGAAGCATCCTAAGCATGGAAGCAAGACACAAGGAGGGGAGGCTAACCCCTCCTATTTTGAACTTCAAAAATTGATTTTTACCACTGAAATAACTCTAATTTTTGGTGGTTAAAAGGGTCAAAAAGTTTGATTTAAAGGTGGTAAGAAATGGCACAAACGGCTTCACATGCCAAAGAACAAAAAAGGGAAGACAACCCCCTAACTCACCAAGACTTAAACTACCATTTTCAAACCTCAAAAATAGAGTTTTTTTGTAGTTGAAAAACTAGGTCAAAACAGTACAAAAGCATAGTAACTCAAGTTATGCAAGACAAGTTTAAAAGGTAAGTCTTATACCTCTTGAAGCACAAGACAATTTCAGGCATAAATTCAAGCTAAAAACCCTTTCTAAGTCTCCAAGAAGACCTCCTAGAACCTCAGCTCCAAGGTAGTCAAGATTAATCAAGGGTCTATGTGCAAAAGTGTAGAGAAAGCTAACTACAAAGCACAAAATAAGAAGAGAGAGAGAGAGAGAGAGAGAGAGAGAGAGAGAGAGAATTTTGATCCAAATTGTCTAACTCTTCAAAATAGGGGAGAGACCTCCCTATATATAGAAAAACAAGCTTGGAGCTTGTATTCATCTCTCCACACACGTGTA